AACCCTAAACCTTAAACCCTAAACCCTAAACCCTATACCCTAAACCCTAAACCCTAAACCCTAAACCTTAAACCCTACCAGTAAGTAATCAGCCCAAAGATCGACCAACAACAACAGCCAAAGCCCCTGTAGGGTTTAGGGTTTAGGGTTGCCCCCGAGGTTCCGTGGAAGCTTTTTCCGAATTCATCACCTGGCCTCGGTGATGACCTCGGGCTGGGGGTTTAGGGTTTGGGGTTTAGGGTTTAGGGTTTAGGGTTTAGGGTTTAGGGTTTAGGGACCTCGGTACTGAGCCTTACAAGCATACTCAAAAAAAGAGGGTTTTTGGTTGCTGAGTTCCAGAATGGTAACCCTTCAAACCCTAAACCCTCAATCTTCTGAAATATCGGCTTCCTCAATATTGAGGGTTTACGGGGAGGAGGGGGCATAACGACAGTCTAAAGGCGGCCCCATACAATGGCTCTGAGAACCTGAAGCTGGAGCGTTTAGGGTTTAGGGTTTAGGGCAGTCACACCCCTGACCCGAAGCAAGAAACACCCCCAAACCTCGAACCAGGAAACCTGAGCCCTAAACCCTGCGGCCTCGGAAAACAACGGGGTGCTGTGGACTACCAGCAGAGAAAGCGTGCCAAACCCTGAATCCCCCGCCCTGCCCTCGCCCCCTCCCCCCCAACAGCCCACAGTTTGCCAAGGCTCTGAAGGAACCGAGTCCGCCGTAGGGAAGACGCGACCTGAGTTGGGTTCACCGGGCTCTTTCTGCGGGATGTTATCGGATTTCTAGGGCTTTTCGGGTTTCAGGGCTAAGCCCGAAACCCTAGCTAAGGGATGTTTAGGGTTTTGTTGCAGGAGCTAAAGTGGCATGTCAAGGCTATTTGCCAAGAGTGTAGTAGGGCCCCGGTAGGGCTGGTTGCAGATTTAACACAGTTGCCTGGGAGACATGTGCGAGATGTACTCAGAAGCCTGTGTTTCTTTCTCGGCCCTCAGGGGGTAAGTTGCATGCAATCCCGTTCCAGGCACGTCAGAGAGCTCCTGGCGAAAACTGGGGAGGGTTAATTCGTAAACTCTAAACCGTAAACTCGCTTTTAGAGCTTCCACAAGTTCTATGCACCCTGAGCATGGGGCCTCTCTGAAGCACCCGAACCTGGGGGTTTTTATGGTCTAGGGTTACAGGTCAGGGTTAAGGGTTTGCGAAGCAATTGGGAGCACACTACAGCACTTGACTTGCCATGAGGGATGCGACGCAAATTCCAGCGAGCGTTCCGGGCGCAAAAGCAGGTAGTCACTTTTAAACCTTCATAGGAATTACATTCTCTTCTCGGGCTTGCAAACCCCAAGGACGCCCAAGCCCTAAGCTGCCCGATCCCAGGGTACAGCGCTTTCTTTTGCCGCGAGACTCCGCGGCCCACGCGCGCACGTCGGGGGTGCTCTTCGATCAGCCACTGGGACTCAGGATGATAGTTTAGGGTTCCTGAATCATAGCGGGGTCACATTTTACATGTTTAAGGGTACTTGAACTCAACAAGGAATAGAAATTTAGATATTTAGAATCCTATCCCAACCATGAACTAGTTTAGCAAAAAGGGTCTAGGGCTTAGGGATCGTCAGGTGATGCGAGATTTTTGGATGTTGCTGGGTGCTTCCTTCACCCTATTGGTTTGAAGGTCCGTGAAACAACCTTTGCGCCAATTGGCTCACAGTATGTGGCAGCCGGAAGTGGGGTGTTGTCCTTGCCTGGGGGGGCAAAAACGTCCCAAACCTTCATTCTCATGTGGGTGTAGAAAGCTGACCTACATGCGCGACGTCATTGTTGCATATGTAAGTACTTGCGCATGTAGTCCCACTGACTCGTGATCGCCCCGGACAGAGAAGCCGATTGCGTTCTCGAAGACCCCCTAAACCCTAAACCCTAAACCCTAAACCCTAAACCCTAAACCCTAAACCCTAAACCCTAAACCCTAAACCCTAAACCCTAAACCCTAAACCCTAAACCCTAAACCCTACCTTCAGCCCCTCAACCCAGGCCTTAGAATCCACAGAGTTTGTGTGGCCCTGAGAGCCTCGTCCCCTCAACTTCACTTTGCCATCCCTAAACCCTCCCTATACCCCAAATCCCAAACCCTAAGCCCCTAAACCCTAAACCCCCTAAACCCTAAACCCCCTAAACCCCCTAAACCCTAAACCCTAAACCTTAAAGCCCCTAAAGCCGCCATGATGCCCCCACTTTTGACCGAGCGCAAGCCCTGTGCGGGTTCCTAGGCACGCTGGGCCTGCCGAGCCCAATGATATCGAAGCCCGGCTTCACTTCACTTCGGGTTTAGGGTTTAGGGTTTAGGGTTTGTAGCAGCAGCCCTGGCTTAAGAAGGTTTCTGGGTTTTTTGCCTGCGGGATTTTAATGTTTAGGGTTTGAGGGGTTAGGGTTGAGGCTTGAGTTGAGGGGTTATCCTTCGGGAGCTGCCCTCTAAAAACATGATGACAAAACTTGACTTGCCTAGCCCACCCCCCACACACACACCCACACTTTCAGTCGTGTGTATTCAGAACCGCAACCAACTATTCAAGAAGGGGGGAGGGTCAGGTGGTTTGATGTCTGGGGAAGGTGGAGTTAGTGAGTCCAGTTCGTATGGCTACATGTCAGGAGGCGGAATTCAAATTCTCCGGAGGTTGAGACGTGCCACGTCTTCTGTGGATAGTACCTGTTGTCACTTTTGTACAAAAGTAGTGTAGGATGCCGTGCAAACCCCCTTACACCAAAGCGGGGCACCCTGGGAAGCCCTAAACCCTAAACCCTTCTGCACACCTGAGATTCCCAAACCCTTCGCAATCACCACCGATTGGTGGCTAACGACGAGCAGCAGCATCCGCCCGAGATGCCAGCGGTTTGTGAACTTGTGTCGGGTCTGCTCAGGCTTCTTATGATGGTTTGTGGCGGAATCTACGCCAAGCCAATGATTCAGAAGCCTGCCTGAACTTGAGCGGCACCCACAAAGTTACTTTGTGGGAGTGCTTGGGGTTGACGTGCCGATTTTCTTAAATCTCTCCGAGCAGCCAAGTGGTTCTCTTCGTGCACTTCTTTCCTTAGCTAAAGGTCGCACATCTGATCTGCAGTGTGTTGCATGACAAGTTGTCCCCCATAGCCAACCAAGAGCATGGATTTCACGGGTCCCTTCGTCCATGCTTCAGTGGAGGGAGCAACAAGGGTAGGGGACACCCTAAACCCTAAACCCTAAACCCATGGTTAGCATCCTTGCAAAAGTGCCTGCGAACACTGCTTTGACCATTTGATGCGACGTCCTTGTACATGTCGCTCATGGCCATCTTGATGGCCCAGTGGTACCCTGTACCTTTTTTTCGTTCAAGGGTTTAGGGTTTAGGGTTTAGGGTTTAGGGTTTAGGGTTTAGGGTTTTCTTTTAGGGTTCCCTTATCGTAGCCAACCCCCAAAAGGGCACCCCTATTATAATATGGTTACCGGGGTACCAAGCCATACTTGGCACTCGTCAGCGCAGCTTCTTTGTAGCCTCTTGTGGGAGCTTTTCCGCTTGCGCGAGGCAAGTCTCTTTGCGCAGCAGACTTCCACTACAACCACCCTGTATAGTTCTACAGAGACCACAACGTCCTTCTGGCCAACCAAGCGACTTTCCAGCAAACTAGTCCATGCCCAGAGCAGACGCAGATGCGAAAGTCCTGCAGCCCTCGTGTCAGGTTGCACAGCACCTCCACCACGTCCTTTGGGCACGCACAGGCTGGTTCCAGCAGTTCCAGCAGTCAGTAGCCGGTACAGGGACTTTACTCATCGTGCGAAGGAAATTAATTTCAACGACACCCTCATCATGCACAATGCCACTCAGACGACGACACTGGCTCTGTCGCCGCTCCTTGCTTGCACGTCGACATGGCAAGTGCACGACAGGCCGTATGCCTGTCTGGTAAGGAGACAGACAGAGGCCAGGTTCTTGAGGCGTAGAATCGACCCTTTGAGAACTACACGTCGCTTGCAAGCTCAATGGATGGTAGCCGTGCCTGGGCTCCCAGTTGTTGAATCTGGAAGAGTTGCCGCCAGCAGCTATATTTTTGAGGAAAGAAAAGCTAGATTGCTGCAAGTCTGCCGGTACCTTCTCCCCGGACAACCAGTATCCCTAAACCCTAAACCCTATAAACCCTAAGTGTGGTGTCAGCTCAGCTCAGCCACCACTGCACTGTTTTGCAAGGTCCGGGATGGGAGCAACCACATCGGCCTCCAACGTGTCAGCCACAAGAGCAGACACGAATAGCTCACCCACCCAGAATGCCTGGAGTGGGCAAAGCTCAATTGAGAATACCTCTGCTACGACCTTGTCCTCGACCATGTCAACATGGCCACTCTCCAGCACCTTATGTGGTGATTTCTCAATATTAGGGCCCTTTCGGCTTCACTCGTATACGGCGGCCCCCTTATTTCGGGTACCCAAAACGGGACCAGATTTACAGAACTGACCCTTTGAACTGACCACTCTGATGGACGAGATCATGGGATGGGCTCCGTTGAGTAAGTTCCGATCACCTCTTCTGTTCCCACTCTTAATGCGCCCTGGTGTTGCGATGATGTTCTTGAGCGGCATACATCGTATAGCAATTGTTAGGGTCATATTAAATACATTGTTCGTATTGTGGTTGAGTAGCTGTCCTTATTCGTAGTAGCAATGTAAAAGAACCCAGAGAGCCCAATATTGCTTAATTAAGCCTTAATTAAGCAGTATTGGGCTCTTTGGGAAGGATCTCAATTGTGGGGGGCGTGACATGTGCCGGACGACCTTGTCGCTGATGCCAAGGTCGCGCCTCACCACAACCACCTTGATGGAATCCATCTCCTGGGCTTGGCGGGGCATCTTAGGGACACCTGAGAATCATTTTGATTTTTAGGGCTTATAGGGTTTCGGGTTTAGGGGTACTACAAGTCCTGTAAGAGCTAAACATGCATTTTCTGCCAGGGTTTTAAGCTCAGTATAGGCATGATCTCGGACAATGGCATGGACATGTTGCAACATGCGGCTACAGTGAATGGCTCGGTGCCTTCAGATACCAATATCACGGACGACACGAATGCGTCCGCGAACCAAAGACTCGCGGACACCGGCAACTCGTTTGACGCTGACACCCCCTCAGCTCGGGAGGATTTGGGCACGAAATGACCGTGGCAAAACCATTGGGAGGTTGAGAAAAGAATGTAGCAAATAGTTCATGTATAATGAATCACACTTATCCAGCAGGACGCATTCTCGGAAAATGCATCTGCGAATGACAGTGACGTCCCCTCCTCAGCTGGCAGCGATAGGCTATTTTGCACGTTGCTTGACACGGGGTTGCCTTACTAAACCCTAAACCCTAAACCCTAAACCCTAAACCCTAAACCCTCTACCCTCTACCCTCTAAACCCTAAACCCTAAACCCTGAACCCTAGCAAGGTCAATGTGTCAGTCGAGCTTGATGGAATGGACACGAACCTTTCTTGGAGCCTTGGCCAAGGTTCATTTTTGGAGGTGGAGTAACAGCCGGTTGATGCAGTTGTGGGACTGTAGCTGGTAGCCCAGAAAGGCTGAACGACCCCCATGAGGCTCCGAAACCAATCGTAACGACAGGGGCTGCAGCATTAAAAGCCAACATAGCTTGCATAGGACACTCTTGGCTGATTGCGACTCCTTGGCGCAAGCAAAATGCAACCCCGGCTTCTCACCAGCCGTAGTTTAGTTCACACACACACACACACTTGCGGACGAAGCAGTTCAGCCGAAGCCGAAGGACGAGGGAGAATGTCTCGGACGACGTGACCACTAGCATCTTGAGCTGATCATGGCATAATTCTTTCTTTTGTGTTCACACTTTGAAGCAAGCAACAGGTCGTGCTTGTACATGCTGCAGCCACCGCACGGCTGCCTCTCTAGGGTGTGCGTGGATTTGTAATCCCATGACTGCACAAAGCACCTGCCGCGGCTGCAGTCTAGCGGAATCAGAAGTAGCTAAGGCAATGGCTCTGCGTTCGCCCTGCCCTGGCATGAGAACGTTTCCGAAGATGTTCTGGAAGACGCCAACGAGTCCGCTGAGATTGATGACGTGGGCTGGAACTTTTCAGACTGGAACCTTGTCTGTAAATGCTGGTGATCTGAGATTATTTTTGTTCAGTGCAGTTACGGGTCTTCCCACTGTAGCCTGCATGTCTTGAAGACCAGCCAGTTCACGCTCCTCTGGAAAGACCATTCAGCGCATCCTTCAATGAATCATTCAAGACTCCTTGAGCATAGCTTGGGCGTATTGGAGACATGGTTCAACGGTTCGTGTGAGAGCATAACACCACAGGACGGAGGAGAACGCTTCAACGGAAGTGAACACCAGCAGCTTGGGCTATGGCAAGTTTGACGCATGAGATACAGTGTTTCGGGTTGCAGGGCTCGGTAGAACGGTAGACCATGTTTGCTTGAACGAAGTCCTTGCCTTGCATCGGTGTCTCGTCATGATTCGTCCTGGCAGCCGAAGTTGGTGGTAAGCAAGGCAACGGCTCCTCGGTCATCTGGCAGGCAACGAGCAGGGCAGGGTGGTCCTGAAAAAGTAAGCCAAAAAATGAGTTTCCCGAGCGCCTGTACTTATCTGCCATAACTTCTGAGCGTCCCACTTAAGACTTGAAGTTTGGGCAAAAAAGCCGATGAGGACCAGGTGGTTTGGGGTAGCACTGGCGACCGTGTGTGACCCTGCAGGAGCATGTGGCAGTCGCAGGAAACGCGTCTGCCAATGACAGCGATGTCCGAGATGTTCCATCCTCAGCTGGTAACGATATGCTGTTTCGCATGTTGACACGGGGTGGCCTTGGCAAGGTCAATGTGTCGGTCGAGATTGATGGAATGGACTCGAACCTGTCAGAGTGGAGCCTTGGCCAAGATTCAATTTTTTTAAAGTGGCAGAAAGTAACATCCCCGGCTGATGAAGTTGTGGGGACTGTAGCTGGTCGCCCACAAGGTCTGAAAGGCCCATGAGGCTCCCGAAACCAATCATAACTACCGGGGCTGCAGCGCAGGAAGCCGACATAGCTTGCATAGGACTCTCTTGTCTGACTGACGGCTCGTTGGCACAAGCAAAAACACAACCCCAGTTCACACACGCTTGTGGACGAAGCAGTTCAGCCGAAGGACGAGGGAGAATGCCTCGGACGACGTGACTACTAGCATCTTGAGCTGATCATGGCATAATTCTTTCTTTTGTGTGCGCACTTTGAAGCATGCAACAGGTTTTGCTTGTACATGCTGCAGCCACCGCACGGCTGCCTCTCTAGGGTGTGCGTGGAATTGCAATCCCATCGCTGCGCAAAACACATGCCGCGGCCACAGTCTAGCGGAATCAGAAGTTGCTAAGGCAATGGCTCTGCGTTCGTCGTGCCCTGGCATGGAATTCTCAGATATCATGTGGGGGTTCTGACATAGGGCTTTGACACAGGGTCCCCTTAGAACATCTGTTTGACCGTCTGACACGGATCCCCAAGCAAGGACTCCGATTTTGACAAGCCCACGTGTTAGCTGCATCCAGTGCAACATGTAACATGCATGTGCAATGATGCGCACATCTGTCCCTGCAGGAGAGCATTCCACTCCCCGAAAACGCATCTTTCAATGACAGCGATGCCACTTTCTCAGACGTCCAGTTTTTCTTCCCGCACACTTTAGGGTTTAGGGTCTAGGGGTTAGGGTTTATAGGGTTTAGGGGTTGGGGGTTTAGGGTTTAGGGTTTAGGGTGTGCGCAGCTGTCGCGGACTTCAGGCCAGAGCGGGGGATAACATTGTCATTTCGCTGATTTCGGCTTAATCAGGTCTGGAAGCACACCGACGTCGCCTACAACGCCTCGACCGGCCCTGATGATGAGAACGTTTCCGAAGATGTTCTGGAAGATGCCAACGAGTCCGCTGAGATTGATGTCGTGGGCTGGAACTTTTCAGACTGGAACCTTGTCTATAAATGCTGGTGAGATGAAACTTTTTTGTTCAGTGCAGTTACGGGTCTTCCCACTGTGGCCTGCATGTCGCGCCTCTGGAAAGACCAGTCAGCACATCTTTCAATGAATCATTCAAGACTCCTTGAGCATAGCTTGGACGTGTTGGAGACATGGTTCAATGGCTCGTGTGAGAGCATGTGAGAGATGTGAGAGAACACCACAGGACTGGTCAGAACGCTTCAGAGGCAGTGAACACCAGCAGCTTGGGCGATGGCAAGTTTAAGGCATGACCGTGGCACATGCAGTGTGTGTTTCGGGTTGCAGGGCTCGGTAGCACGGTAGACTTGTGCTTTTCAGAGCGACGCCCTGTCAGAAGTAGCTAAGGCAATGGCTCTGCGGTCGTCGTCGTGCCCTGGCATGGAATCATCGGATATCATGCGGGAGTTGTTCTGACATATAATTTGGCATTGACACAGGGTCCCTTTAGTACATCAGTCTACCTTACGAAACGGATCCCCAAGCAGGAACTCCGATTTTGAAACGCCCACGCGTTGGATATATCCGGCGCAACATGCATGTGCACATTTGGCACTGCAGGGCATGCCACTCCCCCGAAAACTCGTCTTTCAATGACAGCGACGCCACCCCTGAGCTGCTGCACATTCTGTATTTCTTCCTGCACAGTGTAAATTTAGATGCGCAGCTGTCGCAGACTTCACTTCATTCGGGCCAATCAGGCCTGGAAGCACACCGACGTCGCCTACAACGCCTCTGATGAGAACGTTTCCGAAGAATTTCTGGAAGACGCCAACGAGTCCGTGGAGCTCGATGACGTGGGCTGGAACTTCTCAGACTGGAACCTTGTCTATAATTGCTGAAGGTCTGAAATTTGTTCAGTGCATTTGCGGGTCTTTCCCACTGTAGCCTGCATGTCTTGAAGACCAGCCAGTTCACACGCCTCTGGAAAGACCAGGCAGCACACCCTTCAATGAATCATTCCAAACTCCTTGAGCATAGCTTGGGCGTGTTGGAGACATGCTAAATATGACAGATGTGGGGCAGCACAGGACCGAGGAGAACGCTTCAGAGGCAGAGAACACCAGCAGCTTGGGCTATGGCAAGTTTAAGGCATGACCGTGGCACATGCAGTGCGTGTTTTTGGTTGCAGGGCTCGGTAGAACGGTGTAGACCGTGCTTTTTAGAGCGAAATCCCTGCGCTCACCATGATTTGTCCTCGCAGCTGAAGTTGGTAAGCAAGGCAACGGCTCGGTCATCATCTGGCAGGCAACGAGCAGGGTGGTCCTGAAGAAGTAGACAAAAAACAAGCGGGTCTCCTGAGTCTGCCTCTGCCCATCTACCATAATGAAGTCCTGCTTAGGCCCCAAGAAGCCACTTGGAAAGTGGCAGCTTGAGGTTTGGGCAAGAAAGGCTATTAGGAAAAGTTTGTGGAACGAGGCATCGGGCAGCACTGGCGACCGTGTGACCCTGCAGGAGCAGGTGGCCGTCGCAGGAAACGCGTCTGCCAATGACAGCGATGTCCGAGATGTCCCGTCCTCAGCTGGTGTCGACACTCTGTTTCGCATGTTGACACGGGGTGGCCTTGGCAAGGTCAATGTGTCGGTCGAGCTTGAGGGCATGGACACGAACCTGTCAGAGAGCCTTGGCCTGATGACGTTGTAGGGACTGTAGCTGGTAGCCCACAAGGGCTGAAAGGCCCCCATGAGGGTCCGAAGCCCATCATCACTGCAGGGGCTGGAGCACAAAGAGCCGATATAGCCTGCATAGGACACCCTTGTCCCAGTAGTGACTCGTTGGCGCAAGCAAAAACGCAGAAACGCAACCGCAGCTTCTCGACAGTGGTAGTTTGGTTCGCACACTTGCGGACGAAGCAGTTCAGCCGAAGCTGAAGGACGAGGGAGAATGCCTCGGACGACGTGACCACTAGCATCTTGAGCTGATCATGGCATGGTTATTTCTTTGTGTACGTCTTCAGAGTGACCGCTCGCCCATTACTCGGAGGTTCATGGGTGCTTGTAAGTAGGGCAGTAAGGGTAATTATGGTCATAACCTCACTTCGGGTCTTATAGCCCTACTTGTACGTACCTGTGAACCTCCAAATAGCTGACAATTTGAAGCATGTACTGCACGACCTACCATATGGACTCGACCACCGCAGGGCAGCGGCTGATTGTTGAGGTTACCTTAAAAGGTTTTGGGTTCTTAGGGTAGGGCATTAAGGTTGCTGAAGTACTATCTGTGTGTCGCTTGAGGACGTGCGGTATGGGCGTGATTTGTGCAGGTTTGTAGAAGGCCTTTCCCAGCTGACTTCAGGAGTCTGGGTTCAACAAGCGGTTGCTGAAACGCCTGCCACGTGCACCCCAGCCACAGTCTGGGGAAATCGAAAGTAACTGAGGCAACGGTTCTGCGGTCGTCGTCGTGCCATGGCATGGAGTCAGCCGATGTCATGTGGAGGTTGTTCTGACATGTGACATGGACATAGGGTCCCTTTAGAGAGCATCCGTTTTACCTTACGAAACGGATCCCCAAGCAGGGACTCTGTTTATTGAAACGCCCAAGCGTTAGATCTATCCGGCGCAACATGAATGTGCACATCTGGCCAAGGAGAGCAGTCCACTCCGCGAAAACGCATCTGTCAATGGCAGCGACGCCACCTCCTGAGCTGTAGCACGTTCTGTTTCTCTTCCTGCACAGTTTCAATGCGCAGCTGTCGCAGACTTCAGGCCAGAACGGGAGTTGACATTGTCATTTCGCAGATTTCGGCTTAATCAGGTCTGGAGGCACACCGACGTCGCCGATAACGCCTCGGTCGGCCCTGATGATGAGAACGTTTCCGAAGAATTTCTGGAAGACGCCAACGAGTCCGCAGAGCTTGATGACGTGGGCTGGAACTTCTCAGACTGGAACCTTGTCTATAAATGCTGGTGGTCTGAAATCTGTTCAGTGCAGTTTGCGGGTAGCCTGCATGTCCTTGAAACCAACCATTCAGCACGTCCTTCGATGAATCATTCAAAGCTCCTTGAGCATAGCTTGGGCGTGTTGGAGACATGCTGAATATGAGAGATGTGGGGCAGCACAGGACCGAGGAGAACGCTTCAGAGGCAGAGAACACCAGCAGCTTGAGCTGCAAGTTTAAGGCATGACAGTGGCACATGCACAGTGTGCTTTTGGTTGCAGGGCTAGGTAGACCGGTATAGACCGTGCTTTTCAGAGCGACGTCCTTGCGCTTGCTGTGGTCGCACCATGTCGCGTCGGCGTCTTTATTCGTCCTCGCAGCTGAAGTTGGTAAGCAAGGCAACGGCTCGGTCATCATCTGGCAGGCAACGAGCAGGGCAGGGTGGTCCTGCAAAGGCACACGAAAAAAATGTCTCCCGAGTCGGCCTGTACCCATTTGCTTAGTAGTAGAGTAGGTAACCTTTAACCTTTTTGGGTTAATATATTCCCCTTATAATCCCAAAGGTTAACCTTTAAAACCCCTAGGTACTGGACAACTAAGTTTGCCATAAGCCCTGCTTAGGACCCCAGAAGCCACTTGGAAAGTGGGCAGCTCGAGGTTTGGGCAAGAGAGGCTTTTAGGAAAGGTGGTTTGGGGAACGGCTCGTTTAGGGTTTAGGGTTTAGGGTTTAGGGTTTAGGGTTTAGGGTTTAGGGTTTAGGGCTCGCCTGATCCCTGGAGATAGCGACACTGGGACCCCTGCAGCAGGGCATGGCAGTCGCAGAGAACGCGTCTGCCAATGACAGTGATGTCCCCTCCTTAGCCGGTCCGGGTTTTTGGAAAAGCAGTGGTGAGGAGACCTGCTGCAAAAAATAGCCCCAAATCTAGCAGTAGCATATACTCTCCAGCAGGAGGACTTTTGTATCCTAATTTTGGGGAAGCCACCCCACATCGCTGTTGCTTGACACGGGGGTGCGCCTGGCAAGCAGCAACTGCCCAAAGGACTCCAATATCACTTAGTTCAGGAATATACCTTAAATCATATTAGGGATCCTACTATATTAACTCAAGGTATGTCCCTTAACTAAGGATTATACCTTAAATCATATTAGGGATCCTACTATAATTACAAAAGGTCTACTTAAGGGATATTGGAGTCTTTGGGTAACTCCCAGGCCTGGCGCCAGCCGGACCCTGCCGTTCCCTACAACACCTCGGTGGCTCATGAAGCTGGCAATGCATCTGAAGAGCAGCTTACTTAGCCAAGAGCTGAACTATATTTTTCTTGGGTTTCCTTATTTCGTAGGAATAATAAATTTTACTTAACTTGTTTCCTCGTGGTTATTGGAGAAGTAAGGCGGCTGGATGATGTCAATGAGTCGGTCGACCTTGATGGAATGGACACGAACCTGTCAGAGTGGAGCCTTGGCCAAATTTCTGGAGGTGGTCTATCCCTTGCTGATGAAGTTGCCGGAGTTGTAGGTGGTAGTCCACAAAAGCTGCAAGGACCCTCAAAAAGGCAGTCGTAACTAGAAGGCAAATTAGGATGCAGCATCGAAACCCGCCTAAGCTTGCATAGGACACTCTCGGCCCGCGGGTGACTCGTTGGACAAGCAAAACCCAACCCCAGCTTCTCAACAGCCGAAGTTTGGTTCACACCGAAGGATGAGGCAGAATGCCTCGGACGACGTGGCCACTAGCATCTTGAGCTGATGATGGCGCGCTATTAGGGTTTAGGGTTTATAGCAACTGGTCCCCACGACAGCCGCATTTTTTGGCGGAATCGGCAGTAAGGCAACGGCTCGGCGGTCGTCGTCGTGCCCTGGCAGGGAGTCATCGGATATCATGTCGGATTCATGTGTTGTGTTTTAGCTTCTCTGAGAAACAACCGTCGAACTCTACACCTTCCCGAGCGAGAAGTTGCTGTCAGTGATGACCTCCTTTTGCTTGTAACCTCGGCAAGTGGTAAGAAGTTAACCTGATACATAATATATGACATTGACATAGGTTCCTTTTACAGAGCATCTGTTTTACCTTACGACACGGATCCCCAAGCGCTTCCATTTTGAAAAGCCCACGCGTCAAACATATCCAGCGCAACATGCATGTGCACATCTGGCCCTGCAGGAGAGCATTCCACTCCCCGACAACTCGTCTTTCAATGACAGCGACGCCCCCTCCTGAGTTTGTCTTCTTGCGCAGTGTAAATGCGCAGCTCTCGCAAGCTTTCGGCCAGAGCGTAGATTTCGGGCTTGTGAGGCCTTGAAGCACACCGAGGTAGCCTACAACGCCTCTGATGAGAACGTTTCCGAAGATGTTCTGGAAGACGCCAACGAGTCCGTAGAGCCTGCTGACGTCGGCTGGAATCTCTCAAACTGGAGCCTTGGCTAAAACCTGGACCTGGATCTTCCAAAGCCCCTTAAGGAATACACCCGATTTTATGCTAAGAATCATGATTCTGAGTTAAGGGTATATTCCCTATTTCAAAAAATATGCACCCTAATTTTTACGAAGGATCATTACTATGAGTTAGGGCATATTCCCAAATGCAGGGGTCTTGGAAGATCTGGGGAGATGGGAGAAGTGCAACATGGCGTTCCTTTCATTGACATGGTCGGACTTGGGCCATGTTCATGGTTCTTGGTGTCTTTTTTACTATTTGCTTAAGAACCCCCCCCCCCCCCCCCCCAAAAAAAAAAACAAATAAAAAAAACAACAAAATGAAATAACATAAAATATAAAAACAACACAAACCCTTTTAAGGAAGAATATTTTTCTCTTTTGGGGGGAGTTCTTAAGCAATTGGTGTTTTTTGGTGTCGGCACAGCGGGGTATGTTGAACCCTCAACCCAATACCTATGGATGCCTCAGAAGCTTGTTCTCCTAGTCGGATTAGTCGGATCATCTGTGTATCTGAAGTGAAGTGGCGTGCATTGCTGGAGGACTTTGGCTGCCTCCGAGGCAGAGAGCAACAGCATCGTGGGCTGATTAGGTCTTGCTTTCTGCCTGGAGGATTCCGGACTTGCACAAACTCGTCTGTTCCGTCTACCTCAGGAGATCGACACGCCCTCGAAACCCTGTAGTGTAATTCACTAGAGTGCCAGCATGTCTTAATTGGTGTGGGCCGTGGGCACAGCTGACCGGAAGTCTTGGCTCCAGGAGAGCCCCGCCCGTTGTGGTTCCTTTTTCATATCATCGGGCTGGGCAATTTGTGCCCTTTATTTGCTGTAGCATGGGCGTCGGATCAAGAATCATGCGATGGACCATGGACTGGCGTGCGCAAGCGCTGACGCTGCTAGCTCTCTGCTGTCTAATGCTCCTTCTGCAGTGCAGCATCTCTTGGGGACTGCTCTGCCTCTGTGAAGTGCTGCTTTGTCGGTCTATGCCGAAAAAGCGGTGGGTCTGTGTGGATACAGCCCTGGTGGGGCTGCCTTGCCTGGTTTTCATTTCATATCTTGTCTTCGGCATCGCGCAGGGGATTCCGGGCATCAGTGGCGACCTCCTCTCAGACATGTTCTTCATGGTTGCAGCTGTTGTCATCCGAATCTGTCAACACTACAGGCCTGCACACCCCGACGCGTCAGATTCAGATCAAGCTCCGGCACCAGGAGCAAAAGGCTTCCGCCTGTGCGGGCGATGTTGCTGCGGAGGTTGCGCAGTGATCCTCACCATCTCGCTCTTGGCGCAGTCTGTTGGCATGTTGGTATTCTTAGGTCAGAGCCCGAGACCCGCTTACACAAGGACTGCCATTGCTTATTGGTGCAAAGGTGAACCCAACAACTCTCTGGTCGTCCTGGAGCCGGGCTACCTTGCCTCTCCAGGGACGCTGTACTTTGTCCAAGAGGCTCCTAAACCCCTAAACCCCTCAACCCCGTAACTTAAACCCCTGAACCCTAAACCCTAAGCTTGGCTAGACGGGTGGCAAAAAAAACCCTAAACCCCAAACCCTAAACCCTGAACCCTCAAACCTAAACCCTAAACCCTAAACCCTAAACCCCAAACCCCAAACCCCAAACCCCAAACCCTAAACCCTAAACCGTATACCCTAAACCCTAAACCCTAAACCCTAAACCCTAAACCCTCCAGCTAAGCGGGTGGCAAAAAACCCTAAACCCTAAACCCTAAACCCTAAACCCTAAACCCTAAACCCTAAACCCTAAACCCTAAACCCTAAACCCTAAACCCTAAACCCTAAGCTTGGCTAGACGGGTGGCAAAAAAACCCTAAACCCTAAGCCCTAAGCCCTAAACCGTATGCTTCGTCCAAGAGGCCCTGGCACAGAGCACTCGCGTCTGCATCTACGACCCCGTGGGAACAGGCTTCAGCGGGGGGCAGGACCCGAACTTCCGAAGCGACGCAGCGGCAATGAAGGACGCATCCGCAGTTCTAGAGCCTGGCAAAAGACCCAAAGAGCCCAAAGTTCCTTAATTTGGGAATATACCTTAAATCATATTAAGGACCCCTAAAAAAATCAGGAATACACTCTTTAGTTAAGGGGTATTGGGCTCTCTGGGGAGTGTACGTGTACGTGTACTCATGCCACGGCTAACTATCCCTTCCAGCCTCCAGATACCCTAACCCTAAACCCTAAACCCCTAAACCCTAAACCCTAAACCCCCCCCTTCCAAGCCAGGATGTCGTGGACAGCGAGCTGGCCAAGCATGCTGGTAGTGACTCCTGGCTGGTCGTGGTCGGCGGCCACTCTCGAGGGCACCTGTCAAGCTGCCGGTTCCTACATCCCCCTTGGGAATTGTTTTTTTTTGTTTTTTTTTCATAGTTTTTTTGTTTTTCTTAATTTTGTTTATAATTAAAAAACCCAAGAGGGTAATAAAAAAATAAGGTTTCTAAGGGGAGTACAGGTTCTGGGTGGACTATGCGAGCTCCTATGACCGGCTGGCCCTGCTGGCTTTCGACGGAAGCCACTGCGGGCAGACGGGCTGTAGTACCTGTTCAGACTTCGGAGATGTTTTCACAGCCTTGCGGATTTTTGTGACCCCCTTCTGGACGCTCTTTTCTGGGCTGCTTCGCCTGACACTGGCACTGGCGCAGTTGATGCGGGAGCCGTTGGTGCAGGCAGAATTCGACTACCCAGCACCAGCCCTGCTCCAGCTGGCGGAGCCCTACTTCTGGCCCAAGCTCTGGCGCAGTCAAGCCTTGAGGGGAGAGGCCTGGCTCAAGTCTTATGACGGGCCAGCATACTCGCAGTGCCTGGAGCAGCGGTTAACTGCCTCTTCCGTGGACTCCAGCAGCCCCCATCATCTCTACATCAACGCCGGGGACATCTGCACCCCCAGCGCATGTGCGGGGCACATGTCGATTCTCTCGAACAGGTGGTATGCCAACGTGGCAAGTGCCAAGGCGGCCAGGTTTATCGCTCCCTAAGGGAACGCGCAATCCTGGCCGGCGCAACGCAGTGCTTCACAGATGTCGTGCGGAAGCTGAGCTGTACACGCATGTGCTTCCGACAGGCAGGTTTTAACAGCCCGGCAAAACAGAACAGCGTGTTTTCCCTTCGTGGGTGTCACTGTCCTCTTTGGATCCCTTTGTGCAAGTTTTTTAGATCTTCCAAAACCCCTTAATTAAGGAATGTACCCTACTTCAGAAGAGAGGAATAATGATCCTTTGTACAGATTAGCGTATGTTCCTTAATTAAGGGGTTTTGGAAGACCTGTGTTCTCGTCAGAGCAGTTGTAAGGCACCAGTTCTCACGGCTCTGTGATCATCGTGCCTTGGTTTCACGTGTGGCATGACGGTTTAAGGTTTGGGCCTAGGTGTTGAGATGTTTTGAGCGAATTGAGCTTCGGAGGGTTGGAGAAGAGTGTTCTGTTGATCAGTTGTGAATGTAGTAGGCAGGTGGTAAACATCCACCGTGTGAGAAGCGCATTCCACAGAAAGCTGCGCTCCGAGCCAGGTGGACTTGGCACCTGTGAGCAACATGTCCGCCAACGACAGTGACGCCCTCCACTCGGCCTGACATGAGAACAACGCATGCTCGGGCTCACGTGCATCTTCAGCATCTAGATTCATTACAACCTAGTCACGACGTCAGGCCGGGAACAAGACGGATGTCACCCAGAACATGTCGATCCTCCATGAAGCCGGCAATGCCTCCGAAGGGCTGCTGGACCATGTCAACACGTCGCTGGAGCTTGATGCGATCGATGGAAACCTCTCAGACTGGAAGCTTGTTTCAAAGTGTACGCTTGGAGGTCGCACAGCAACTTATACATGCCCTTGGACACTCCACCAGCACACGGCAAGCAACGAATCATCGTGGTGAACTTAAGGCTACTGGCTAAGCACAAGAGTGAAATCAGCAAGGGTGCCTTGTGCGTTGATCCGGCTTTGGCACCAACAGATCGCGTAGATGAAGGGTCGCAGCTAGCTGGATGATACACATGGTGCACTTGCATCGAGGATGGAGTTGAACGAGTCAGAGGCGTCACACAGCCGCAGCTTGGATGATCGATAACGCTAGAGTTAGATGCTAGACGTCTTGATCTCAAGCTTATGTGCACCTCACATGCATGGGCCAAAGTACATGCACATAGCCGTACGTACCAGAGGCCTGGAATACTTTGTGAACCTGGGTTTTGGAGTACTCAGCAACTAGGATAACTCACCACTTCCCAGCATTCCCTCCCCCTCTGCCACCGAATTCGAATTCAGGCGTTCTGTACCACCAACTAAGCTCTGTTTATTAAGAAGCGACTCTGTAGCCGATTTCGCCATATTGTTGGGCAACCCTCGGAAGACATTCCAGGCAACGGCTCTTTCGATCTTCCCGCGCCCTGATCTGCAGTGTGATGGGGGAGGGGGAAGACTCCAAGCTCCTTCCCGTGGATGGATGTTAGGGTTTAGGGTTTAGGGTTTAGGATTTAGGGTTTAGGGTTTAGGGTTTGGGGTTTAGGGTTTAGGGTTTAGGGTGTATCCCAGAAAGCTCGAAATACTGAATCCTGCAATACCGTAGTTTGCAATAGAGTGCCAGCCCTGTCCCATGCAATTCCAGTGTTTTGGCACAGGATGAGAGCTGGAACGCGACCGGCATTGGCTACAACAGCTCCGCTGTCTGGGACGTGAGCAATTCCTCCGACGAGACGCTTGAAGATGTGAATGTCACAGACAGGAGCCTCCACTGGGATATGTTGCCTGGGATTCATAAGGATCATGAGGATTGGCATGAGTGTGGCGCAGGGCTTTGGAAGATGTTTTTTTTGTGCAAGTTGGCGCAGGCTGTGTGGCTACTGGAGCATAGCATTTCGTGACATTTGTTGTCATGTGTGGTTTATAGTAAAGCCGCCTAGCCAAGTTTTCAGATATGCGCGATGCAACACTCAAGAGACATTGTATACACGCTTGTCGGAACGATGCAACGCTTTCCATGCGGGAGGATGGAGCAGAATGCGTCAGAGGTCCCGCAGAACAGCAACTCTGGCTTCAATGGATTCGGTCCGTGTAGAGGCTTTGCCCCATAAGGGGATCCTGTCAAAAGCACAGGTTTTTTGTATAGCAATCCTACGAGGATCCAGTCTAAACCCTAAACCCAAACTCTTGCCTTTCTTCCGAGCCGGCCTGACGTCCAATCCTGTGCTTCATGCTGGGTCACGAGTCCCCATAGCCGCCCAAAGTTTGCTTGATTTTCTCCATTCGCTGAATTGTGGGCAATCCACTACTACTTGCTAAAAATGCAACATTATACTCCCTATATTGCCCTTATAAGGAAGCATCTTTTTTGATCTTTTTGGGGTTTCTTAAGCAAATAGTTGCCCTAAACCCTATCTAAACTAAACCTTAAACCCTATGAACAAGGCCATGGTCTGTTTCCTGCAGCTCGGCAGGCAGGGTGCTTCACAGCAGCAATCTATCAGCATCTAATCGGTGGGAATGCCGCCGCAGCGCAGCTACCACAACATAGTGTCTGCTGTGCCTTTTGAGACATTGTAAGGGTGGTCCGGGTAGTTACACGGCACTTTATCATAGGCAATGGGCCCTTAATTGGGGAACCCTAGCGAGCAACCCTAAACCCCATAAACCCTAAAGCAGAAACCCCACACACCCTAAACCCCACAAACCCTAAACCCAAAACCCTGAACGTCAGGATGATGTTTTCTCAGCTGAGAATGTGTCCATCAATGACAGCGACGTCTCATCCTCAGCGCCTGCTTGGAGTTGCTGCTTGGAGTTGCCATAGATGTGCTTTGCTCAGCAAGCTTGCGCCTGAAGCCCTGGCAGCTCAGTGAAATTGTCCCGGGAGGCATGCTCAGAAGGTTTAGGGTTTAGGGTTTAGGGCTAGGGTTGAGGGTTTAGGGCGACTCAGGCCTGGAACGACACTGACCTTGGCAACAGCTCCTTCATCTGGGAAGCACACGGCGACCCCGAGCATGGCTACTTCTTGGAGAACGAGTCGGCAGACGACGGGAACGCCTCAGACAGGAAGCTCCCGTTTACCGTGGTAGCCCAGTGGTACCCTTTTCCCCTTTTATTTTTGTCGGTTCAAGTTTCCCTTCTGAAGTATCCAACCCCAAAAAAGGGTGCCCTTATTAGAGTAAGGTTGCTGGGCTACCAAGTTGCTCTTGACCATGTCTTCGTGGAAATCTGTCAGGGGAGGGTGCAAGTCTGCCTCTTTGCTACAGACCCTCCCCACCACCGCACAGAGTCTCATCTAAACCCATACACAACCCTGTCTAAACCCTAAACCCTAAACCCTAAACCCTAAACCCTAAACCCTAAACCCAGCAGTGCTTGTCTACCCTCGAGGATGGAGGAGAATGCATCACAAGTGCAGGGGTACAGCAGCTTGGATATCAGATGGCCCCAATCGGATCTGAAACACAACGATGCCCCTTGATTCTCCCCAAAGAGCCCAATATGGCTTAATTAAGGAATATACCTTAAATCATATTAAGGATCCTGAATATGATTTAAGGTATATTCCTTAATTAAGCAATATTGGGCTCTTTGGGTGATTCTCCCTAGTTGAGGGTTTTCTGTTCTTTCCGCCCAAAACAGGCACCCCTACCTGCCATGCAAATCACACTATGTGAAGGCATGGCGTCCAGATACCCACCGTTTTGAGAGGCAAAAGCGTGGTGCAATATGGGTCCCGAAGCAAAAAATGGCCCCTACGAAATCCTAAAAATGGACCACAGTATGGGCTGAAGTTCATCTTGTTCCCTCCAAACCCTAAACCACAATTGAGAAGTGCAGTGTACCAAGTGGAAACCCTAAACTACTCGGAGGTTCGTGGGTACTTCTAAGTAGGGTTATAAGTACCCCAAATTATTAGGGTGATAAACGTAGTTACCATACTTCTTAGCCCTACTTAACTCCCCATGAACCTCCAAGTAGCCCTAAACCCTAAACCCTAAACCCTAAACCCTAAACCCTAAACCCTAAACCCTAAACCCTAAGCCCTAAGCCCTAAGCCCTAAACCCTAAACTGTGGCTTTGTCAGAGCGACAGAACCAAGGTAATGGCTCCGTCAGTCTTCCCGTGGCTTGCCGTGCAGCCCAGTGAGGGCCATACACCTCAGCTAAGAGGGTTAGGGGTTAGGGTTTAGGGTTTAGGATTCTTGAGGTTCGGGTTGTTTAGGGTTAGGGTTTAGGGTTTCGGGTTAGGCTGAGTGGGGTCGTATCCTTTCCTGGCAGCTGTACGCAGTCCAGTTGCAAAAAAGGGTTTCGGGTTAGGCGAATAAGGGACTCCTAATTACCTTATGAAAAGGACCCCAGTGAGGTACCCCTACTGTATGATCGTAAAACCCGCATATACTGCTGCCTTAAGACCCCGAACCTTTTTTTGGTAGGCCATTACCATCTTTTCTAGGAAATGTGTGGTGCTTCGGGTTGTAGGGCCAGATTTTAGAGTTTAGTCCCAATACTGTAACTCAGAAAAGGGCCTCTCCCCTACTATCCCGCGGGCTTCCTGAAGATTCAGGGTACTGGGCGCGGACTGGAGTTTCCCCATCGGATAGACAACGTATGGGGCTTTCTGGAAAGTATAGTTGTTGGTTAATACATAAACCAGCTTCCGTATATTTGAATTAAAAATGCACCTCTTTTCGGGGTTCACTGTATTCGGCGTATCCCTATTTGGGAAAAATCAGCAATGAAAGCAACCGCTGTCACTCTGCAGGACAAACTTCTGTTTGGAGGCAACGAGTCCGCGAACGATAGTGACGTCCCCTCCTCAGCTTCAGCGATTCTGAAATCGCTACCGAAACGCTGTAGCAAGAGAGCTACTTTGCGAAGCTGTTGGCTGTTGGTAGCATCCCTTTCCTCAGACCAAAAGCTGCAGGGTGTGAGTGTTGCCCATGTTGGACCAGGATTGGAACGTCACCGAACTTCCCTACAACGGCTCTCTACACTGGGAAGCAAGCAACGCTTCTGAACATCGAGAAGACCCAGCGGAATCCATCGAGCTTGATGGAAATCTATCAGACAGGACCCTGGTCGAGAAACCTCCTGTTTTCGAGGTGTTTTGTGCAGCCTTCCCCGAGTTTGCGATTTGCGTGCTAACCCCAAAGAGACCTTAATATCCATCAATCAAGGAATTCTACCTTAAATCATATTAAGGATCCCTATTAGGATTTAAGGCAAATTCCTTAATTAAGGGGTGTTGGGCTCTCCGGGACCATACAGAAGCCACAGATGATGTTATGGCCTCCTGGTACACGGCTCTAGAGCATGGCCAGATATGACGTTACTTTGAGGTTCATGGGGTACTTAGAAGATCTTATAAGTAGGTTTCTAAGTACCCCAAGTAAGGTTATAGCCATAGTTACCCTACTCAAAACCCTACTCAGAAGTACCCATGAACCTCCAAGTCGATAAGTAGGATTAAGTAACCAAGCTTTTGAAGGTCAGGATATCCCCCTTGGGAATAATTGTTATTTTTGTTTATATAACCCAAGAGGATATTAAGCATATTGTTGTTATTAAGGTTCTAAGGGGAGTATAGAATAGCTGCTCTGGGCGATGCCCGAGTTTGAGCAAGACTTGCGACTCTCAACGATCTGAATGCTGTGTACGTGGGAGGACTGATGAGAACGCGTCAGAGGTGTCAGGGAGCAGCTTCTTGGATGGCTTTAGGGTTTAGGGTTTAGGGTTTAGGGTTTAGGGTTTAGGGTATGGTGTCGGTTCCACGTTACACGTTCCACGTGTCTCCATGAACATTCCAACAACCTGCATGGCATGCCGCTTTCCGGCAGCATGATAGCTGCTTAGTCAGGCAACGGCCCTTTGACACCCTCTGCATCTTGGCGTGCAAACCCTAAACCCTAAACCCTAAACCCTACACCCTACAGGAGCAGGGCTGAAGGGTCTTGGCGACTTGCCTCTTCAGCAATAGTTAGTATAAGGGGGAACCCTAAACCCTCCACCCCAAACCCCAAACCTAAAACCCATAAAGCCCACAAAGCACGGAAGAAAATCGCCGCACTTCTGTGCTCCGAGCTTTGGCACCATTCCACGTTGCGAACTGTGTCCCCCTTCCCTGGGCTCCTTGCAGAGTAGTGTTCAGCTTAGACTGGCAGCCTGCGTGGGTAGCTGCACTGATTTGAATGGAGTAGCTTTGCAGGAAGACATGCGCTTGGCGGGGAATGCCTCTGTGAACAACAGTGATGTGCCCTCCTCAGCAGCTGCAACAAATTGATGCGCAATCTGTTGCCCAACCACGAGTTCGGCAGGGCTGGAACGAGACCGACCTTCCGCACAACAGCTCCGACATTTGGGAAGCCAGCAATTCCTCGGAGGATCTTTGGGAAGACGCCAATGAGTCGGTCGAGCTGGATGGCAACTTCTCAGATTGGAGCCTCATCTGAGGTCAGGACGCATTTGCGCCGTAATGCCAGCTGTAAGGTTTTTCGGGAGGCATGTGTCTGTTCATCTTCAGATATTTTGTCACAAGTCCGCTTACTTGCAAAGACGCTAGCAGCCAAGGATTGCAAGTACAACAGAGGTGCCGAACAACAGCTTCAGTCGCTTGGGCTTTCTACTTTGCAGGGATGTCGTGATAGAGACGATTGTGGCGCTTCGTTTGGGGCGTTGAGAGTAGTTATCCTCCGGGTCTGCTGTTTCGGGTTCAGCCACGGCCAGCTCGGAAAGACGTCATAGGACGTCTGTAGCTTCGTTTTTCGCTCGTCCTCCACGACACGTTTGCACGTTGTTGATTGTAAGCATGCAATGCAAGGCAACAGCACTTGGATGCGTCCTGCTCCTTGGCATGCATTCCGGCTGAGTCATCTTGATCTTGGCCGTCTGATATGGGTTTCACGATTATCCTTCTTTTCGGAGCGATGCATCTTTTGCGACTGAATCGATGTAGGGCAGTTGGAGCACAGCTTTTCCCCGGTGTCTTTTCAGCATGTTAAGCCACATGAAGTTGTGGACATCGGGCATCCTGGCTTGGCAGGAAGAGGACATCTTCTTTGCCGGGAACAAGTCGGCCAACGATAGCGACGTCCCCTCCCCGGCAGCATTTGCAAAGCTGCCACATGACAGCCTGGCGTATGGGCACGATATAGGGATATGGTAGTATGGTGTGGTGCACTCAGGGCTGGAACGAGACCGACCTTCCGCACAACAGCTCCGACATTTGGGAAGCCAGCAATTCCTCGGAGGATCTTTGGGAAGACGCCAATGAGTCGGTCGAGCTGGATGGCAACTTCTCAGATTGGAGCCTCATCTGAGGTCAGGACGCATTTGCGCCGTAATGCCAGCTGTAAGGTTTTTCGGGAGGCATGTGTCTGTTCATCTTCAGATATTTTGTCACAAGTCCGCTTACTTGCAAAGACGCTAGCAGCCAAGGATTGCAAGTACAACAGAGGTGCCGAACAACAGCTTCAGTCGCTTGGGCTTTCTACTTTGCAGGGATGTCGTGATAGATTCGATTGTGGCGCTTCGTTTGGGGCGTTGAGAGTAGTTGTCATCCGGGTCTGCTGTTTCGGGTTCAGCCACGTTCGGCCAGCTCGGAAGAACGTTTGTAGCTTCGTTTTCGCGCATCCTCCGCGAGAGGCATTCAGACTGTTGATTGTAAGCATGCAATGCAAGGCAACGGCACTTGGATGCGTCCTGCACCTTGGCATGCAGTCCGGGGGGGGGGGGGTGAGAGACTATTTTGATCTTGGCAATTTGTGGTATCGCAGTTGGAGCGCAGCTCCCAGCTGGTTTCTGTTGAGCATGTTCTGTTCAGCATGTTGAGCCACAGTGGATATCGGGCATCCTGGCTTGGCAGGAAGAGGGCATCTTCTTCGCTGGGAACAAGTCGGCCAACGATAGCGACGTCCCCTCCCCAGCAGCATTTGCAATATGCCACATGGCAGCCTGGCGCTGGGCACGATAGGGATGTGCTATGATGTGGTGCAGTCAGGGCTGGAACGAGACCGACCTTCCGCACAACAGCTCCGACATGTGGGAAGCCAGCAATTCCTCGGAGGATCTTTGGGAAGACGCCAATGAGTCGGTCGAGCTGGATGGGAACATCTCGGATTGGAGCCTCATCTGAGGTCAGGGGGCATTCTGCGCCGTGATGCTTCTGCTTAGGTCCATGCTAAGGGTTCAGCTGGGTTCGGCAAGGGATTGTCGGGAGGCATGAGTCTGTGTCGAGGTTCGTGTTTTCAGATGTCTGAACACCAACCGGGACGGGCAAAGACGCTGACAGCCAAGGTTTCTAAGCCCGACAGAGGAGCCGAACAGCAGCTTGGACTCTTTTGTACTTTGTGGAGATGTCGTGACACAGAAGACTGTGGTAGAGACGACCCTTGAGCTTCACTAGGCATGCTCAGAGTCGCTGAGTAGCTGCCATCCGACTCTGTTGCGCAGCCAACCGTGTTCAACCAGCTTGGAACGACATCTGCAGCCTCATGTTCGCTCCTCCTCCGATGAGGTGCTTTTTGTCGCATCTTTTAGTACATAAGCATGCCATGCAAGGCAATGGCACTTGGATGCATCCTGCGCCTTGGCATGCGCTCCAGGGGAAAAACTCCTTTTGACTTTGGCGATGACTGGCCATCGGAGCTTGCATAGCATGGGTCTGGCTACCTTGGTGAGGGTATAGTGAGGGCATCCTTTTGGGCAGGAGGACATCTTCCTTGCTGGGAACAAGTCGGCGAACGATAGCGACGTCCCCGTCCCAGCCGCATGAGCCAAACTGCCACAGCATGCGCTCCATGACAGCCTGGCGCACGGGCACGATAGGGATGTGGTGCACTTAGGGCTGGAACGAGACCGACCTTCTGCACAACCGCTCCGACATGTGGGAAGCCAGCAATTCCTCGGAGGATCTTTGGGAAGACGCCAATGAGTCGGTCGAGCTAGATGGGAACATCTCGTATTGGAGCCTCATCTGAGGTCAGGACGCATTTTGCGCCGCGATGCTTCTGCGTAGGCCCGTACTAAGGGTTCAGCTGCGTTCAGCTGCGGCAAGGGATTTCGGGGGGCATGAGTTTGTGTAGAGTTTCTACTGTGCTTTTCATCTTCAGACACTAGGTCATTTCAACACAAGCCCGAATAGACCCGAATACCTGCAAAGATGCTAGCAGCCAAGGATTGCAAATACGACAGAGGCGCCGAACAACAGCTTCAGCCGCCTGGGCTTTCTACTTTGGAGAGATGTCGTGGTAGAGACGATCGTGATAGAGACGATCCTGGATCTTCATTTGGGACGTTGAGGGTAGTTGTCATCTGGGTCTGCTTCTGGTTCGGCAACATTCGGCCAGCTCGCAAGGACATCCGTAGCTTCGTTTTGGAGCGTCCTCCAAGATACGCTTTCACGCTGTTGATTGCAAGCAGCAATGCAAGGCAACGGTACTTGGATGCGTCCTGCACCTTGGCATGCAGTCTGGGGGGGGGGGGGTCCGAGACTATTTTGATCTTGAAAGTATATTGTTGGAGTGGTGGAGCCGTTGTCACTGCTTCGACGCATCGCAGTTGGATCGCGGCTTTTGCCCGATTTCTGTTGAGCATGTTGAGCCACATGAAGTTGTGGATATCGGGCATCCTGGCTTGGCAGGAAGAGGACAACCTCTTTGCTGGGAACAAGTCGGCCAACGATAGCGACGTCCCCTCCCCAGCGGCATTAGCAAAGCTGCCACAACATTGGTATGCTGTGGTGTACTCAGGGCTGGAACGAGACCGACCTTCCGCGCAACAGCTCCGACATGTGGGAAGCCAGCAATTCCTCGGAGGATCTTTGGGACGATGCCAATGAGTCGGTCGAGCTAGATGGGAACATCTCGGATTGGAGCCTCACCTGAGGTCAGGACGCATTTTGCGCCGCGATGCTTCTGCGTAGGCCCGAACTAAGGGTTCAGCTGCGTTCTGCTGCGGCAAGGGATTTCGGGGGTGAGTCTGTGTAGAGGTTCTACTGTGCTTTTCATCTGCAGACGTCTTAGACAGAGGCTCTTTAGGGCATTTGTTCACAAACCTGAAGCCCTTCCAGCCGAGGATTGCAAACACGACAGGGCAGCCGAACAGCAGCTTGAGCCGCCTGGCCTGCATTTCTTTTTTTTGTGGGACTGAAGGAAGCGATGTCCTAACCCTAAACCCTAAACCCTAAACCCTAAACCCTAAACCGCCTAAACCTAAACTCGAAACATGGAGCTTAAGAAGGGATGTAGAACCGTCTTCGTCATCGGCTTGTTGCTTCGGGCCCAGCCAGTTCGTAACCCGTGGCCTTGTGTTCGCTCCTAGGCGACGCACTGGCCCAACCCAAAGCCCCCTCCAACCCTGAGCCCCCCTCCAAGCTCCAACCCTAAGCCCCCAAACCCTAAGCCAGCTCTCCAGCTTGTAGCCCTCCAGCATCCAGCCGACTGGAGGGGCTGGAGGGTTGGCGGGCTGGAGGGCTGGAGGCCAACCCCAAGCCGTCCAGCCCTCCACACAAAATGAAAATTGTCTCCCGGACGCTTTAAGTTTGGTGGCCTCTTGACAACTGCTTCGGAGGTAGTATGCGGTATCTGTCTTATCTGTTCAAATGTCCGGGAGTTTAAAAACACGTCACCGTAATCGCGTATTCGTTCATCAGCCTTTGTTCGGGGTAGCCAGCTTGCAAGCTAGGCTGTACGGCCGTACTCCAAGGTAAGATGATTAAAGCCCTATAGCACGCAAAGCAAGGCAATGGCACTCTGGCGCTTCCTGCGCCTTGGCAGTCAGAGTGATCTCATGACCTTCCCACCGTTTATCGAATTCAGTTCGGAGCTGCGGCACGATCTGTGTGTGGTCTGCAGGAAGACGCGATCTCGGTTGGGAACGAGTCGGCCAAGGACAGTGATGCCCCCACCTTAGCGGCAAAACTATGATGCCCTTACTATAATTATAATACTGTTGCTGGGGTACCAAGTATTCGATCTGGCCCGCATCTCCGGAAGCGGAGGGGATAGGGTTTAGGGTTTAGGGTCTAGGGTTCATCGCGGCTCAGGGCTGGAATGAGACTGACATGCCCTGCAATGCCTCAGCCTGGGGCAACGCAACCGAAGCTTTGCTGTGCTTTACTGTAACTTTAGATCCTTAGCCTTTTGGGGTTTATTGGGTTTCTCAATAAGGCAGCTAAAAGTTTAGTTTTTCTTACTACCCTCCTAAGTGCAGCCAAGGAAGATCTTCCGGAAGATGCGAACGAGTCCCTCGCGCTCACCGGGAACCTCTCAGAGTGGAGCCTCGCTTCAGATTTCGATGCAGACCCAGATCTTCAAAAAACCCTTAGTTAAGGAACACACCCGAATTCATTGCAAGGATCCTTAGTATGAATTAGGGTATGTTCCTTTCTCCGGGGTTTTTTGGATGATCTGGGGATTCCGCAATTAACGTTTTTGCTGAGGCACTGTTCGACTGTCCGACGTATGTAGCTCGATGCTGAAACCATGCATCTTGCACCCAATGAGCCCAACACCCTTTAAGTATGGAATATACCTTCCGTCATACTAAGGATCCCTGTATCATGTAAGGCTTCTTCCCTAATTATCATAGTAAGGATCCCTATATATCATGTATGGCGTATCGTAACTAACAGGTATATAAAGGGGCTCTCTCCTAAACCCTCAACCCTCACCTAAACCCTAAGCCCTAAACCCTAAACCTCTGGGCACCTTGAAACTTGTCGGCTTGATGGGGCAGGCTCTGAGCAGATGTTGCGGCCCATTTAGGGTTTAGGGTTTAACGATAGGGCTTAGGGTTTAGGGTTTAGGGTTTAGGTTTAGGGTTTAGGGTTTAGGGGTTAACAATAGGGCTTAGGCTTTAGGGTTTAGGGTTTAGCAATAATTATGGGGTTTTCCGACAATAGGGGTGGGATTCTTGATTCCTTACAAGTATACGAGGGTTCCTTATATTATATGCCTTAATTGAGTATTGGAGTCTTGGGGACCCTGCGCATCTGAGGATCGAGAACGCGTCAACAAAGACGCCGAACAGCCACTTTGGCTGCTCACATCTTGGAGGTTGGAGAGTATAGACGGGGTTTCCACAGGGCCCTCTTTTTTGGTACTGGGAGGTTCATGGGTACTTATAAGTAGGGTAATAAGTAGGGTACAACTTAGCGTACTTGTAAACCCTAAACCCGAAACCCTAAACCCTAAACCCACGAACCTGCAAGTAGTCAGACGCCCAACCCCCGCAAGTGTCAAGCGAGGCAACAGCTCCTTGAGTCCTCACGCGGCCTGGCTCGCAGTCACCGCGAAAGTTAGGGTTTAGGGTTCAGGGTTTAGGGCGTAGGGTTTCTGCAAAGCTGCAAATAGGAGCTGGCTCTGATGATCTGATGACGAGTAATGAAGTGCAGACCTCACATGACACAAGCATACATGCATGTAAATACAGATGTATATATATATATATATATATTAGCATATATATATATATAGAGACTACATAGATATATATACATATGTCTTGGAACAGATGCGTCATCCAACAAAGTGTCTCCGACATCGAAATCGGTGGTCCGTGGGTGTCTTTGCAGGACATGATTCTTGCCGAAAATGAGTCGGCCAACGACAGCGATGCCCCTGCCTCAGTACTCAAAGTTGCGGCAAGTGACCTGCGGTGGTGACATGTTCGGGCACAAATCACACTGGCAGCATGATGCGTGAGCATGACACCCGTGGCAAGCCCTCGCGTGTTGCAGTGGTCTCAGGGCTGGAACGAATCCCACGTTCTCAACGAGACCTGGATCGTTCCTGAAGCAAGCAATACGTCCGAAGATGTCGGGGAAGATGCCAATGAGTCGGTCGTGCTGGACGTCATCGATGGGAATCTCTCCGACTGGAGCCTTTGTCGCAGGTGGTGACCTGGTTGTTTCTCGTTGGCTTCCATGAGCACTCCTAGCCGCTTGAAAGGGCAAACCAATATAGCCTCACAGGAGAAACGTTATACTTGCTCTCCTGCAATTTTACGTGTCTTAAATATATCTATCTATGTACGTATGTATGTATGTATGCATGTGTGTATGTATGTATAGACAGAGACAGAGAGAGGACGACTATGACCGAAGCACAGCTGAGGATGGATAATGCATCGGAACAGGTGACGACACGCAGCTTGGTTTTTCTTGGTGGAGGTGTGGCTATATAAGTTAGCATAGGGCATGCCCGTTTTCGGTTGTTACATCACCGTCAACCAAATAGTAGCCATTATATCCTAAAACACATTACCATATAGAAATTATCCTATTTATCAGGTGATGTAACATCCGAAACTGGGCAAGGTTAGGTTTATTCAATTTATGGGGCATAGCATGGGGTAGGGGGTTTCAACGAGCCACCGCGGTGGCACTTCATCAAGGAAGGCGACTTCCAGACGGTACGCCTTGCATGATTTTGATTATCAGTTCGGTCTGCGAGCGCAGGTGCATTCTGTGAGCCTTGAGCAGTTGGAGCGAAGCATGAGCAACTTGCTTTCATTCAAGTGCCGTTTTGGCTGAATTTTCATAGAGAGTTGCGGAAGCCATGGGGTACGAGCAGAACTACAAGGTGGCAGAAGGAGACCCAGACTATCTCCATGGCGTGTTCTGTGACGGTGTGCACAAGCATTTATGGAAAGCCAAAGAGAAAAGGCATCGTCGTGCTAGTCATCATGTTGCGAAGATTCGGATGAGGGACGACAAGAACTATTGCGAGACTGAAAGCCTCCAGTACGAGCATCTGATTGAGAGGGCTTGGTGGTTGTTGCTTGAATGGTGAGAGCAGTACAGATAATTTTTTATTGCATCTGAACTCAAAGGTTGGGCTTCATTGCATATGTGCCCAGTTCGGAAAGCCAAGGACAGTAGACCTTTAGGGAGAGTGGCTACACAAGAGAGCCGTTTCCCAGAAACGTGCGTGAGCACCTGTACCGTAGACGGAAAACATCAGTGATTGCATTGTTTGAACCATGATGTACCACCTGTTGTATTGCATTCTGTGGTGCAAGTGAGTGCAACAAAGCATGAGCAACTTGAAAATCCATGTAGCGTTTTCTTTCAAAGCAGTTTTGTTAGAGTTGTGGAGCGATGGCTTCTTCAAGCACTTCTACTCTAGAAGAGCAGTACGAGGAGCTGGGCAAAAAGTTTGATGCCCTGTCCCTTGTGGTTGCCAACGGCTTCGTCAATGATGGCTTGCCGACAGATGATGCTCAGTTGGAAGCCTTTGCTGTAAAGCACATGTGCCTTGCAATTGAGGCAAGGAAAAAACTTTGCTTCTCCAAAGTTGACAATGGCACTGAAGAGTACGCTTTCTTTGTCAAGTACAATGGGCGATTCTATGAGGTGTACGGAAAAGGCACGTGGACGCTGAAACAGTTGAAGGACCACATTCTTGCATTCATTTGTCCAGAATATGGTCATTTTTCGTTGACGCCACCTATCGTCTTCAACCCTGCTGTGGTGGAGAACAACCGCAAGAAAGTGAAGACTCTGTTCCCCAACAAGAAGGTTGAAGTCTCTGTCGGTGGGGCAGTCTGAGAAGCTTAAGCTGTACAACCAAACTTCTGTTGCATCTGGACTCAAAGGTTGGGCTTCATTGCATATGTGCCCAGTTCAGAAAGCCAAGGACAGTAGACCTTTAGGAAGAGTGGCTACACAAGAGAGCCGTTCCTCAGAAACGTGCGTGAGCACCTGTACCGTAGCCGGAAAACATCAGTGGTTGCAGTTTGTGTGCCATGCTTTACCACCTTTTGCATTGCAGTCCGTGATGCAAGTGAGTGCAACAAAGCATGAGCAACTTGATTTCATTGTAGCCCTTTTGTGTTGAACACACAGTTTTGTGCCTCGCTCCTTCGCGCCTCTTGTTGTAGCTTTCTTGCCATGTCTGTCTTGGTGTTTCTGGCGGATAACGGAGAAGCGAAGCCAGTTATGGTGAAAGCTGGTGACATCATTGTGCCATTCCGCCACACCACCGACTTTGTTCCCGAGAAAGCGGAGCTGATGCGTCTGAGAAAGGATGGACTTCACAGCGTTCTCAACACTGCTGGCATCGGCTTTCGTCAGAAGGACAGCTGTGAAGCATTGGTTGACAAGCTTCTTGAACAGTGGCAAACAGTGATGGACAAGTACCAAGCTCTTGCGGCGAGGCTTGCGACCCACATCCTTGTAGAGCCGCGCTTCGTCAACAAGCGCAAGAGCAACGACGCGGACTTGCCTGCTAAGTTTGTATTGTTCGGAGTGGACAACTTCGTCAAGCTGGGCGACTGCGAAAAAAACGACTTGCGCATTATCTTCCACGAGAAGCCGTTGACCGACAAGAACAGCGTCCTGCGCTTCAACGGCAAGTACTTGATTGACCGCACCAAGAGCCTTGCAGAGTACGGCTTTCGCTACCACAACGTGGTTGACGTGGAAGTCTACGACACGGACGACGAAGACCTTGTCGGCATCCTCAATGGCGAGGTGCAGTACACCTACACTGGTGACTTTGAGGACTACATCCAAGTGAACGTGGACGATGGTGAGGCCGTGTTGTCGGATGCGTTCTTCGCCTGTTGGGATGAAGAAGGTGAGACCAAGCCGACGCCAATGCCAAAGCTGGTGGACGTCCGCATCATTGAGCCAACTCAGAGCAGAGTTGTCTTGAAGTTCTGGGCAACTACCGACACGACGGTTGAGGAAATCAAGTTCAGACTCACAGGTCACATCAATCTTCAGACGGGTGTGCAGAACTTCACAGATGACGACTTCTACCTGATGTGCAACGGCAGGTGCATGCTTGACGAAGAGGCAGTCAAGAACTACCAGTCCGAGAACGATGAGTACATGAGCATTGTCTTCAAGCTTCGCCTTCGTGGTGGAGCGCCCAAAGTGAAGAAACACTACATTAAGCTGTCCACCTGTGCCCCAGCGCCACGGAGCGACCTGAGCTTCTTTACTGAAGCCCATGCCACTTGCGAGACCATCAACACATCAGGCACTATCAATTTTGAAGAGGCCCTCATGACCATGTCCACGGATAGCCTTGTAGAGTTGAAGGAGTACCTCAACACACCCCGTATCACGCACGCTGCCAAGATATATGGAGCATGTGAGCACATGAGCTACTACAAGGGGCTTGAGATGTTGCAACGCAAGATTCTTGCAACCTGCGAGAAGCTTCGTGAGATGACAAAGACCGACATTGAAGAGCGCTACGGTGGTGACATTGAAGCCTTGAAAGAGGCTGTGAGCAACACCTTGGCTGTCAAGCGTGATCGTGAGCTGGGCACTAGAATGTCCAACTGAGTGTCACCCAGTGCTAGAAACGGGCATCCCCTATGCTAGAAACGGGCATCCCCTATGCTAGAAACGGGCATCCCCTATGCTAGAAACGGGCATCCTCTATGCTAGAAACGGGCATCCTCTATGCTAGAAACGGGCATCCTCTATGCTAGAAACGGGCATCCCCTATGCTAGAAACGGGCATCCCCTATGCTAGAAACGGGCATCCTCTATGCTAGAAACGGGCATCCTCTATGCCAGAAACTAGCATCATGTACAGATTTTGCTTGTCGCTGTTTCGCCAGACCAGCACAGATGGGAGCAGTGAAGTGCCAAAGATTTGTTTTTGATGTGTGTGCAGGAAGCAACCCCTTAAGCCCTAACCCCCCCCCCCCCCCCCAAAGAATAAACCCTAACTTGTACGCGACAGGTGGACCAGACCATGAACGGCACTGTCTACAGCAACTTCAGGAAGGTTCGCCCTTTCAGGGTTTTAGGGTTTACTCTTAGGGTGTAGTTTGGGTTTAGGGGTTTGTTTGGGTTTTTGTGTTGTGTTTAGTAGGGTTTTACTACTAAAATAATAACTCCAGAATAGAAAACCTTAAAATCAATTTTTGAAAGTAGTCCGACGGTTCGGCAGAAGCCTCGCGTGCTACGCGTCGGCCCTAAAATCAAAAATACAAACATCAGGGTAGTAAACTTTAGGGGTTAAAAAAACAAATAATATTAATACTGAATATTATTTGCTTATACCTTTAACAACTCAAATCTTAAATAGGCTCTTTCCATACCATTAACAAAATAATATTTTTGTCCTAGTTTTTCGTCTATTCTCTCAACGGTGTAAATATTTTTACTCCAGTTTCCTACCCTTTCTTTTTCGTTAGGCTTTCTTTTCTTAAATATTTTGACCTCATCACCTTTTTCCAACTCTGGATATATCCTATTTTTTTTAGCCTTACTGGCTAAATTCAACTTAACTTTTAACTCGTTTGATGGCTTTCGCGCCTCTTTAGGTGTCATTTCTGTAGCGGAATGCTTCATTACATTATTGTACGTTAACAAAATCTCGTGTATATAATCTATCCACTGGATATTCTCTTTACCCTTTTTTTCATCTGCTTCAACTCTCCTATACAACAAATCTTTAAAAGTGCGTATCGCACGCTCACTAAAATTAGGGTGTGCTCTCGTTATGTGATGTTCAATATTCTGTTCCTTAAAATATGTTTGTATTGATTCCTTGCTCAATGCTCCCTCGTCGTCAGTGTAAACAATTTTAGGTTTTTTACCCATCTTGTGTATACATTCAATTATACCACTGGCTAAATCTTCTTCGGTCTTACCACTAATGGGTACAACGTGCATAAACTTATCAAAAACATCAATTGTTAACATTCCTACTCTAAACTTTTGATTTTCCATGTCGTTTATAAAGAATAAATCAATTTGATACTCGTATGCCGAATGCGGTGCTACAAAACTGTTCGTGCCTACTGGTCTACGTTTCTGTTCTACATTCTTCTTAAAAAACTCATTGATATCGTTCATTGTTATACTTTTATCCTTCTTTCTGGCTTCATCTAAGGTGCGTTGTTTACTGCCAAAACCAGCCTTGTCAAAATAAACATCATTAATTATTTTCTGTTTCTCGCTCATATAAATAAGTAAGAAAAATAATAATATTTTTTCAAAAATTATTATTTCTCTTCTTCTGGTTCTTCTTCAGGCATCACTGTTATCACCTTACAGTTTTTCATTGTGTATTTAGTTCCTTTCTTTTTGCTTCCCAATGCTTCTGACTTCTGTTCTGGTGTCAACTTCACGGCTGTAATATCTATACCGTTTTCGGCTATGTACTTTTCCATCTTCTTTTTCTCCACATACCTATCTCTTGAAGCTTTCTTTTTCTCCAAGTACTCTTTGTCTTCACGCCTTTTATTGTAATACAGCCTATTGTACAATGCCAGTTGTTCTCGGATTTCATCCATTGTCATATCTTCAGGTTTTGTCATTTCACTATTAATGTATATAAATGATATTTCTTTAAATACTTTGTCTTATTATCATACCAATATTTGATATTGAAGCAGTATAACAAAAAGTCTTAAGAAAACCACTTAAAGAATAAATAGCATTATCTAATTAATATATATATTGTAATTTATGACCAAAGCTATACAAAGAAATATCACTGCTTTAGAAGCAGTATACGATAATTATAAAAGGCGTTTTAACAGAGCAACCAAAGAAAAGGTCAGAAACATCATAGACTTATATTCTGAACGCAAGATAGCCCAGTTTACGACAGCCGACAATTTAATAAGAAAGTTTATCACAGCCAAGACACCAAAGGACAAGGAAAAGGCAGAAAAAGAATACAACAAGATTTATGACAAACATAAGGATAAACCCAGTCTAGGCGAAAGAATGGAGGAAACAAAGCAAGAAAACAAGAGAACCGGACGGACAAACCCAAGAAAGAAAACTACCTATTCTGTACCAGTGATGTTCTATAAATATCGTACAAAGTCTGATGTAGGAATGAGAACATCTTTTTCTGACAAGAATGGCTATCCTTTAATACCAATATTTCATTTGCTTAAAACAGCCAATATACAATCATCTAAATATATTGAAGACATCGTAAGAAAGAGGGTATATAGAGATTACGAGGATAAAAGACTTTTTAAGAAATTGCTCAATGACCTTCTAACAGACCCTAATATACAAGAAGACCTATTCCATGTTGAAAATTATATTGCTTGTATTATTATTTATGGCGCGGATGGTGTAGACGGTGATTCAGATTTTAACCCAAAGCGTGAAAACCTAAGGGATGCCACTAATGTGAGCATGTATCATAATTATATTCAGACCCCTTTGAATCCAGAGTATGAGACACTAAAGGAAGCCATTAAAGTGGAACATTATCAGGATAACGTGTGTTGGATTAATACTTTAACCGATTATTATAAAAATACCCTTATGGGCGACAAGAAGAGGGAAAAGAACAAATTAACTAGAGAAAGTATTTTAAAACTCATAAATAAAACAGAAGATGATTTCGTTACTATTGGTGCTAGTCTTGACGATATGACAAAGGTATTTGAACACTATAATATTCAAGTTAGGGTATATGATGTTTTTGAGAACTTAGTCTATCAGCATGACCCAGAGAAGCGAGACCATCACATACAAACACTGTATGCAATCATCAAGAACAATCACATTTATACGGTGAATGATAAATTAAGTTCCTTGAAGCAAATGTT